TAATATTATATAAGTATGTATTTAAAAATTAATATTACTTATATAAAAATGCATACATAGAAATATTTCTCTGTTATTCTATTTTATTTCTCTCTTTATTTCAATAGTATATAACAAACATAAAATATTTTCTCTTAAAATTGTTAAACTTGGCTAAATTAATTTGTGTGTGTGTGTATGTTATATCAAAACATATATACACGGTATTTTTTTGCTATGCTTTCCCCTATACTAAAAATGTCATATATTTTGTTTTTGCTCTTCTAAATCTTAAGGGACTCTATATCATCAGTATTATTATTTTTTAAAGGGTTTGTATATAAAAATATAGGTACATTATTTTGAATACACACAATTTTATTATGTATATATGTATATATATAAATATTATGTATAATTGTATATATTTTATATTTATTTATACGCACATGTGTTTTGTACATATATAAATAACAATAACGAACAAATTTTTACACATTCGCATATAAGATTCGTTCTCTTTTTCATTTTATTTTTTTGTTATAATTTTTTTTTTTTTTTGTTGTTTCTTTTACTGTCAATATTATTCTTCTCTCCTAATCATTGTACTGTGTATAATAAATTATATGGTGGCCTACATATTTTACGATAGGAATAAGCAAAAAAAAATAAAAAAAAAGAAAATTTAACAAAAAAATAAATAAAAGCAAAATATGAAAAAATTAAAAAAAAAAAAACAAACGGCAACACATTCAACAGTAGAGCTATAGAAATTGAAAATTTTTATAACGGAATTTTTGTCACTTCGTTTTGTTGGTTCAACAGTAACGGTCGTTGTCGGTTAAATAACAAAAAAAAAAATTGAAAAAAAAATAAGTATATAAAAATATATTTAATTATATTATAATATTATTAAATATATTAATATATTTTACGTTTCGGAATTATTTTAGAAAAAAAAAAATAATAATAAAAACAGAAAAAGAAAACGGAAAAATTTATAGTGTATAATAGTTAAAATATATAACGGTAATAAAATACGTGAATAACATCAAACTTATTTTATGAGAAAATTTAATAGTATAACGGTATATATTTAATAATATTTTTTTTTTATTAAAATATTTTAATAATTTTAAAATTTGTGCATTTATTTATAAAAAAAAAATATATATATAATTTATGTGAATAATTTTAGAATATCCTTAATTAACTTCTTGGATCTTGGAATACCACGAATATTCATTTTTAAATATTTTTTAATTCTGATTCGCTTAACTGTTAATATTGCCAGAAGGTTATCCATAATCTTGCAAAATACAATTAACTGTTGTTTTTTTTTCTTTGGGGTTTTTTTCTTGTTTTTTATTATAGAAAATGCAACAATTATTATATAGAATTTCTTTAAGGCAATCCTATATTTATCCTTGTTTAATTTTTCTGATTTTTCTCATATGTTGAAAACTTTTTTCAAAAACATTCTTTTATACAATATTTTTAAAATTTTTTATATTTTGAAAATTTATTTATAATTAAAATTAAATAATAAATATATAGATATAATTAAATTAATGGCAGGTATATAAGGTATAAAAAAATTATTTTAATTTTTATGTACCCATTTACATGTATAATTTTATATACGCGATTCAAAATTAGAAAAAAAAAATTATAAATAAAATGTAAGTTCGCGTAGTACTCATATAACATTATTTATATATATTTATTTAATGTACAATATATGTAATGTATAAAAATATAAAAATTCATATTTGTTTTATTAAAAAAATATTATACTGTTATAATGTTCTAATAGAGCTACTGTAATGTGTATTATAAGTTATAATATTATGTACAAGCCTTGTATCATATTAATTTGGCTAAATGAATATTTTCTTTTAATAAAAAAAAAAAATTAAAATAAAAACACTTAAATACATAAAATTTGTAAGTGATTAGATTTTATGAAAATTGGATTTTATTAAATTAGAATTAAAGTTGAAATTTAATTTTGATTTTATTCCAATAGAGGATGTTCCGCCATTTCAACTGACTGGAATTTGTTTTTAAGACTTACAAGTTAAAAATATCTTAAAGAATCCGAATAAAATTTATACAAATATCAAATTATGCATAAAACAAATTTTATGGAATATTAAATGTGAATTTTAAAGTTTTAAATTGAAAAACAATAACCAAAAAGAGAGTGAAACGGGAACTCTGTTTGAATTAATTATTGTCGAATTTAAATTATAATTTAATTTTTTTATTAAAAATTATATTTCAATTAAGTTTTATTTTTGGGTTTTCGTATTTCTTTAAAATAAAAATATTTAATTTTCTTGTTTTTTTGAATAAAAATATTTTCCTGAAGGCCAAATAATTATAGCACAGGACTTGTATATATATAACAATTTATTATTTATATATGTATATGAATATACAAATATTTTTGTATATTACAAATGTACATATATATGTTTATATGTATTTTACTCCCCAATCTATATTATATTATTATCAGTTGTATTTTTATTTTTTTTTATATTTTTATTGTTATCCTTGTTAGTTATGTTACGAGCATTATTTTATAATACTTTTTTATCGTACATACGTATATATGTTTACATATATATAAAATGTATATAGTAAAAATATATTATATTATATATATATATATATCATATTATATATTATATATAAGTATGCATATAGTAAAAATTTAACGGCAACTTGTTGTTTGTTATAATGGATTCAGGATATCGATATGTACTTCGTATATATATACATACATATATATAAAAACAAAAAGGATAATGGTTATATTTTTGTGTTATTTATTTTTTTAATTTTTTTTTTTTTAAATTATTTTGTTATATTTTGTTTTTTGTTTTTTTTATTCATGTATTGTTATTTTATGAATATTATTTTTGTTGTTAAAAAATACAATTTTCTTTTGTTATAATGTGAATTTTTTTCTATTTTTTTAATTTTTATTTTAAATTTTTTTTTTGTTTATTATTCCGGTTATTTTTTGAAGATAGTTTTATTTTTTTAACTGTCATAATATTTGAATTGAAAAAAAAAAAATTTTTTTTTCTGTTGTTGTTAATTGTTGTCAAATACATTTTTATTTTGGATTGATAAAATATATAAGAGTGTAATAGTGAAATATAATTTTATGAGAATAAATATAATTATATAAAAAATTATTGAGAAAATATATGGTATGGTGTATTGTAACAATGAAGGGGAAACGAGTATAATCTAAAATATTTCAATAAGAAATAATGTTAATTATGATTTTTTTTTTTTAAATTTATTTTAAATTTGTAAATTATTTAATTATTTTCTCATTATATGTATATGACATATACTCAAATTTATATTTTTACTACCCGAATGTAGTATAAACATAATTAAAATGGAATTGAGAATTAATTGAGTATTGATTTGCGTTAAGAAATGCATAAAATTTAAAAAATATAAATTATACATAGTTAATTGTTATACATTATTGTTCTGTACTACTCGTATTTTGTTAAATTTAAATTTTAATTGCATGTTATTGGAAGTTTTGTGTATATCACGTCCGTTTTTTTCATATTTTTCAATATTTTAATTTATATTTTAATTTTAGTAAATGTAGATTTTTAATATTATTTTAAGTATTTAAAATATTAAGTACGATTTGGTTAAAATAATTCATTTATATTTACTTAATTATAAATTTTCTTATTTTTAATAATTTATTATAACTCTTTAATTTTGAAAATTTCATATACTCCTGTGCTAGTACTTAATTATCAAATAGGTTATTTTGGTGGCTCTATTATGCCACTCAAAATTGTTTAATTAAAGAAAAGCGAAGTCAATAATTTAAGCATAATTAAATGAAATTGATTTGTAAAAAAGAAAAATTATAAATTTATAAAGCAAAATAAATCAAACAAATAAAGTGTTAAAGATTTTTGAAAAACGCCCCAATTAGGTTCTTATAATCAAAAACAGACTAAGTTGAAATTTAATCGTTGTTAATTTTCTTTTTTATATTAGTAAACATTTTTTTCAAAAATTAAATTTTAACTTCTTATTTAAATTTTTATGTTGAGTTTAAAAATTTTATTAAAAAATTACATGAAATTGTTGTTTTTTATAATTTCATTTTTGTTATTTCAGCAACCAACATATTTTGCTTTAAGATTCTGTTAAATCTTGAAAGCTACAATTGTTTTTATTATTTAATATTAACTTTGTATTTGACTTATTAAAAACATATTTTTTTTTGTTCATTAAGGAACTATATAGTACGGTTTCTACATAGTGTTGGGCATATTGTAATTTGAGTACAAAATAATTACAATATTTATTAAATTTACCAAAAATTATAATTAAATTATGACTGAATTAAAAGTATAAATTAATTCAAGTCATATAACACCTGCAAGGATATTATATTTTAGAGAAATTTAATTTCTATATTTGACTATTCTTATAATTATTAACCAGTCTATTTCTATTCCAAAATATTGCATTTCACTTAAATTTAATAAATTCTGACATAAAATGATTTCTAAAGACCAATGTCTTGGATTGTCTCCTGTTGTTTTTTGGCATAAACAAAATCAACAACGAATTTTTCCTACTTATATTTTTAACCAATTCTATATTGAATATATTATATGAATAAATGACTTTGTAAAATTCATAATAATTGCATGAAACCCATATAAAATTTCAGTAAATAAAATTATTAAATATAGTTTAAACAGTTTTTCCGTTTAAATTTCTATACTAGGACAAACTTTTATTTTTAATATTTTAAAAGAATTAAAGGTAGATATACAATATTTTCCATTATCTTCAAAAAATTTATTTATTTTTAACATTATAGAAATTTATTGAAAAACCAATAATTGGAAGAAGATAAAAGACAGTAAAAATAAACAAAAGAAAAAAAATTTCAAAATTAAATCAAATATAGAAAAAAATTAAAAAACAAAAAAAAAAAAACTTTAAAAATACCTTAAAAAATATTGATTGAAAATTTTATAATAAAAAACAAACAAAAAAAAAAAAGAATTTATAAACAAAGTAACTGGAAAAAGAAAAAGAGAGAATAAAACAAATATTCAATTCTTGCAAAATTAAGTGTCCTGGAAAATTCTATTAATATTTCTTTTAATAGAGAAATAATAACAAAAACAAAAGTGTTAAACAAAGACAAGAAGAAAAAAAAAATTATTGAAAAAGTAAAAAAACAAAGTGACAAAATTATTCCTGAAATTTTAAAACTAAAATTTATTTTAATAATTCCACCTTAGAATTTCGTATTTAAAATTAAATATTTCAAAAAACAAAGAGTTGTTAACCATTAAGTTATTTAACCTTTATTTCCAAGGTAAGTTCAATTGCAAAGTTGTTTGTTCTTGAAACGCAGACGATTTCATTAAATGGGTTGTAATTCGGCGATTGCAATTGCATTAGTTTGTCTACTATATAATAATGCCCTTTTAAATATTAAAAATACTTAATACCATAATTCAGGCGCTCAGCGAATTAATGGTCTATCTAACATTTTTGCAAAAATGAGTTATTATATTCAATAGAGCTGTAATGGCTTAAAAAATTGTTCTATATTTTCAAAATACTTAATTTGTTCCTTTTTTCATTACATTTTTACATAAGTTTGTTATTGTCTTTTAAAAATTTTCTTATAAATTAAATATTTAACATTTTTGCAAGAGGAGCTACTAATATGCTGAGCGCCGCAATTCTAAATATACATTAAATTTTTTTCCACAATGTTAGATTAATTTTTACTTGCAAATTATTGCAGAAATAAATTAGTTGGCACAAATAGGAAGTAATCGCCTACAAAATCTTATTTTACATAGATTTAATCTTTTTATATGCAGCAAATAAAATTTTTTTTGGTACTTTTCAAAAAAATCAGCCGTTTTTTCATTTTAAAAATTCTCTTATACAAATATAAGGTTTTATGATGTGAAAATTAAGATAAAGCATACATTCATTTACACTCCGATTATGAGTATGCGTACTAAGTTAAAACTTTTTTTTATTAAATTTTTAAAAATCTAATTTCTTTTAAATTAAAATTTAACTCTTTTAATATTTTCCATAAATACGGAATTCAAGAGCAGAAAAATTTGATTAAAACTTTTATTTATACACACTTTCTAAAGGAAATGAAAAACGTGACACAAATTTTGACAGAATATGACAGATAAATTATTTAAAATAAAAAAGATAGAAAAAAAAATTTTTTTCTACACTAATTTTAAATTTTTATCTTCAATTTAAACTTGTTAAAAACGAAAAAAACTTTTTAATTTTTTAAAAGGAAACCATGAAATAAAAAGAAAAGGATGAAATTTTTTTTTTTTAACTTTTTAAGTATGATTTGATCTCTATCACCTTTTTTTTTGTCTTTAAATTGTTTAAGAAGATGACAAGTTTTAAACGAACCTTTATTATTTTTTTCTTCTAAAATTTTTTTAGAAGAACTTTAGCTTATGTTTTTTGTAGTAGTAGTATTGGTACAAGTCACAAGTTAATAAAGTATATGACAGTTTATTGTGCAACGAATTCAAAAACAGTGGAACTGATGTGGTCAGCATGTATTGATTTCAAATTGTAAGGGCGCTAGTAAGCTTTTAGTTACCATATCTAGAAAAATGTAAAATTGGCATTTAGTAGAGTTTCATTTTATGCCATCCGAATTTTCAAAAAATAGTTTATTCACGCTTAAATACTCTGGTGAAGTGCGTTCCCACTAAAAAACTCTAATGACAATTTTAAATTATTTTTTTTGTAAAATTCTTAAATTATTGTTAACTTTATTGTTATTATATAAATGCGAAAATTAAAAGGGTTCGTTGAATTTTCTAAGGTTTCAACATATTATATTTTTTAAGTACATAGAACAAAATGTAAAATAATTTAGAACCTAAACGACTTTTATATAGGCTGGTGTACTTTAGTGTTAATAAACATCGTTTGAAATAGTACTAGAATGAAATGCCAATATCCCCCTAGTTTTCCGGTTTATTTCTACAGATGTAGAAATCTTCGAAAACTGAAAAATAGTTAATTTTAGAAAATTATAATTAGGAAAGAAAGCACAGATGAATATGAGATTTCTTCCAAAATTATTGTTTTTTAATTTAACAAAGAAAAGTTTAACTATGTAATAACACACATTTAAATATTTATGAATGAAAATTAAAAATTGAATTATAACTAATAATGAAAAACTAATTAATTAGACCAAGAGATTAGATTTGTGAAATTTACTAAATTTAAGTATACTAAAGAGAAAGTATACAAAGTCATTCACTATATTATTGATACGAAAGAGAAGTGTATTCTATGAGTATAACAGTATTTTAATTTTAAGTTTCTTTACACACATTCATACATTGTATGTAAATTTTTTATAACATATTCGTAAATAAAATTTCTATTTTGTATACACATTTATCTCAAACGCAACATATTAATATGACGTATATACAGATGACATGAAAACTCAGAAAAAATTTACTGTCATAAAAATGAAAAACAGAAAAAAAAAAAGGAAAGTAACGAAAAAACATAAAAAATTTCTTTTCTATTTTTAATTTTTTATAAATTTAAAAAAAAAAACTTGTTTTTTTTTTCTTGTAGGTCCTTTTTTTTTTTTTTGAGGATTCAATTTCCCAACAAAAATGAGAAAAAAAAAGTGTAGAATGAAATTTTTTTTCTATTTAACAGAGCAATAAAATTTTCTTTTATATTCTTTTTAGTTTTTTTTTACTCTATAGTTTCCATTTAATGTTTCTCTTCTTCCCATATTTTTTTTTTGTATGTGTCTTCATTTGTTTTATGGCTGGAAAAAATTATCGATTGAAATTTTCTATTCAATTTTTATTTTTGTTAAAAGTTTGTAGTTCAAACATTTTAAGTAAAAATTGTGTGTTGAGAAAAAAAATTTTTCAAAGGCTTTAATGTTCCTTAAAATATAAAGAAAAGACTAAGAAAATAAAAAATGATTACTCTCTTTTTTTTTTGTATTCTCGATTAGAAACGTAAAATTTAATCATTGGACCAAAAGTGTTTATAGTTTTTGGTTTTTTTTTTTCAGGGGGTCTAAAAGTTAATTGAGTTCAAATATTTTTCACAAAAATATATCAAAGGATTGATTCCATTTATTGCTGTCTGCCCATAAATGCATTTATAGTTGAACTTATTAATCGTAAAATTCAAATAGTAAATAATGTGAAAGAAATTTTGTCATTAAGTTTGAATATTTGAATTTTTTTGACATTTTTGAATCTTACACTATTAATTTTTACAGTAACAATATCAAATATTATAACAGATTAAAGTAATCAATATAAAAAATCAATTGATTACTTTCTCACTTTTGAAATTTAAAAATTCAATAATAAGTTAAGTTATTTTCTTAGAAATCCAAAATATTTTTTTATTAAAAAATTTTCCAAAAATAATACAACAGATTCCACCACTTTTATATAAGAAAGAATATACGAAACTTATAATGTTATATAATTAATAAAATTTTGTGATAGCTGAAATTGTAAACAAGCTTGTTACTACAATTTAACAAATAGTTATGCCAAGTAAATAACGTAAGTTCTTGATAAATAAGAAAATGTAATAAATTTTTGAATTGTATAACAGTTATTATAAATTGTATAAAAGTTATTATGAATTGTATAACAGTTTATATAAATTGTATAACAGTTAATCAAATATTTAATTGGTATTTTTTAGTCTATTCATAATTTTAATATAAAATTGGTATTATTATAGAACCCCAAAAAGTAGGCAATAAAATTTTTACTAATCAAGAAAGTATAAATATTTGATTATTTAACTTTTATACTATCCTCGTTTTAATTTTCTATTGAAATTTTGACGAGAGAGAAAAATAAATCCAAAAATTTTGTTTTTTCCATTCAAAATTATAAAATGTATGTATACATATATATATATATATATATATATATATATATATATAAAGGTTAAGAATAGAGGAGGTATGCCTTGAATTTTAATCCTTCCTTTTTTTTGTAAAGGATTTTCCCAATTTTTTTTAAAAGCTATGGTGTTTTTTAATAAAGAAGTTTTGTTTTGTGTATAAATAGTTGTATGAAGAAAAAGGGATAAAAAAAAACAAAAAGGCAAAAAAAAAACGAATTAAAATGGGGAATAAAATTTAATGTTGAAAATTTTTTTTTTTGAAATTTTGTTTTTGTCTAAGTCAATTTTCTTGTTAAAAGTTAGTTTCCCCCCCCCCCCCATTTTTTTGTTATTTCATTTTTTTTAAAAATCTCAATATTCTTATGAAATAACTTGTTAAAAATAGAAATTAAAAATATTTTTGAAAATTATTTTTTGTGTTTGTATGAGCACGTTTTGTATACAAAAAAAAAAAATCTGATGTGGTCAGCACATAACCGACCGCATTGTGTATTGTCTAGTTAAATGAAAGTGTTACAGAATATAAAAATGTCTGTTAAATACTTCTTTCCAATTTTTAGGACATTAGTAAGCTTATAGTTAACATACTTAGAAAAATGTAAATTTGGCTCTTAGTAGAGTTTCGCTTTGTGCTACCCGAATTCCCTGAAATGCTCGCCAGTTAGTTTCGGTAACAACCAGAACTCAAATATCAAATTTCAAGAAATTCCATCAATTTGTTCTGTAGATATGGTGAAAAATGTAAAATCGGCCCGCAAATCAGTTCTCGAGCCCTGATCTTTCCAAAAAAGTTATATGTTCATTGTTTTAATACGGGGAATTCATATATTAAATTTCAATGAAATCGGTTGATTATTTCTCTTTATATACACAAAAGTGTATGTTTGGCCCGTAGTAAACATCTAGTTGCCGATGCCTGATCTTTCCAAAAAATTTACATGTTCATTGTTTTAATATGAGGAATTCAAATATTAAATTTCAATGAAATCGGTTGATTATTTCTCTTTATATACACAAAAGTGTATGTTTGGCCCGTAGTAAACGTCTAGTTGCCGATGCCTGATCTTTCCAAAAAATTTACATGTTCATTGTTTTAATACGGGGAATTTATATATTAAATTTCAATGAAATCGGTTGATTATTTCTCTTTATATACACAAAAATGTATATTTGGCCCGTAGTAATCGTCTAGTTGCCGATGCCTGATTTCTTCCAAAACATACGAATTTTTGCGAGTGGTCGAGCTGAGCTTATATATAAAATTTCAAGTAAATCGGTTGAATACTTTCTTCAAAATGTTCAAAAATGTAAAACAGGCCCGCTAAAAAGTGCAGTTCCCGAGGCCTGATATATACCAAAAGTTGATCGATCCGTGCCATGGTGGAAACAAAC